CTGTTGGTCAGGTTATACTGTAACAGACTTTACATGGTTTGAACCAAAGCATTTGGCAATAGTTCATCTTTGAAATGGCTTGCCTGCATTGTGAAATGTCAAAAATCTAACACACATTTAAAGTTACAAAGGGTGAAACAAAAGACTGCTTCATACATACTAATGAGCCTCTTTCGCGTGCATTTTTTGTGTTTAAAAAAATTACATGTGTGTGTACCTCTGACCTGTGCTGTACTGTGGAACTAATAAACATTATCAAAAGTGACCTCCGTAAAAAAATACCCATGTGTCTCTTCTTGCAGCCCACCCCATCACTGCAATGGCCCATTCTATTCAGAAATGGCCCATAACTTTTTGAAGGTCAGGGGTCATAGGCCTATATACCTGTTTTGCCTTCCCAATTCCTGTTTTCCTAGGAAAACTTTCAGAAAACCATGGGGTTTCATGCAGAAAAAGACTACTCTAAAATCTAAAGGTAGCACACTTAAGTTTCCTAAGGATCTTAAAATCAAAAAACTTTACTAAGGACAGCTTCAAAAAAAAACCTTTGTCAATTTGTTCTCAAGTTATGAGATCTGGTATTGAGGATTTATAATGTAAATATGTGACCCTCCATATGATATTAGGGACAAAGGGGATAGCACTCTCACAACACACTTTCACTTGAAGACAAAAGAAACTGAGTATATCACACTTACTGAGCACACTAGAGCATGCGTTAATAAACTTAATATGCTTTTGTGTAATATAACACCCTACAAACAATGAAACATGTGCCATTGAACAATGAAGCATGAGTAGGCATACATTCAAAGCATGTAAACCTTCAAACACAAAAGCTTACACGCAAGCAGACACAGCACACCAGGCTGTAACCTTGTGTGCAGCATGCACATTAACTTATTGTAAAGCTAGTGTAATCATTACACAGTCAGTGAATTTTCATTCTTGGATTGATACTACAAGCTCAATTAAACTGAAGCTTGTATTGGTGTATTATAGTTATCAACTTCGTGATCAGAATTGTGACAATCATGTAACAACTCAACATGTCCAAGATATTCATAAATCACTGTGAGTAGTTAGTAAAAGCTGGTTCTGACACATTTTGAAATTACCTTGATTTTAAGGGCAAATCATGAATTTGACCTGAAATCAACCTCGATTTAAAAAAAAACAGGTTTTACACATTTCTAAATCAACCTTGATTTCGAAGGCAACTGATAAATTTAACCTTGAAATCAAGGTCAATTTCTAAAAAACAATTTTTTGCACATTTTGAAATCAACCTTGATTTTAAGGCCAACTTAAGTTTTTTGTGGGTGAGTAATTTCACACCTTCGCAATGTCTCACGCATGAGTTCTGAAGAGGATGTAAATATTTTCATTGTTTGTGGGAAGATTTCATGCATGTGGCCTCTTATATGTTTTCTTCAGATTGAAGATACAATATTGATTGGCATCAACATTTTATCTGATTAAGAAGTCGTGGTGTGCCTTGATTTGTTCTTCTGTCTCTCAGAGTGTCTATGTAAATGAGGAAAGTATGACAGTCTGAGTTTAAACCTTCAGGAAAATCATCTCTATATTTTTTGAAAAATTCCCCCACACATAAATATTACAACTAATTCCTTTTGCAGTAAAGTTGAGAAGCTTTTTCCCATAACACTAGAAAGAAGAAGGATTCTTTACAGCATCTCCATTACAATTAATATTCCAGTGACAGCGAACAATTTTCCTCTTTCCTTCTTCTGTTGGGTTTGCTTTTACCTATAGATGCAAATTTGCAATCTGGATCCAACAACAGTGAATGATACATCTGCTCCTGATTTTGGTATTGTTCCACCAATGACAACTTCTCTATCTTTTTCAAGAGAAAGAAAAAAAGTTTTGAATGAATCCATTTCCAATCAAGCAATTTCTTGTGTATATTGTTGTTCCATTTGAACTTCTCTTGTGTCTTAAAAATTAAGATGTTGAAGATTTTGAGATTATTGAGTGTCTTCCATTGTTTATTGAAGTTGATATTTTTGTCTGCATGAATTTTATTTTTTTTAGTTGCATGGTTGTTCCAACATGATTAATTGAAAGCAGTGATGCAAAATTTATTTTGATTAAATATTTCACTGCTTGATATGTGGTCTTTGATACCAGCACATTGCTTTTTCTCTTATCAATGTCTCAATTAAGAGATTTCAAAGGGCATATTTTGATGGAAAGGTGAATAAATTGATTGTTGTATTTTCATCAACATCTTGTTTGCTGCATCTTCGTTATCAGTTGGATTGGCATGATTGACAATCTTTTTACTATTCATATCTTTATCAGTTTCTTGAATCAATCCACAGGGATTTCTTGGGTCTATTGAGAAACTCTTTTCTAACAGTATTTTCAAATTTAGTTCCTTCAGGAGGCAGCTCAGTTCTAGGAGGAACAATCTGAAGTTCTTCTCTGATGAAACCAAGCTTTGTTCCATCTTTCAGATAGTAGAGAGCAGGCTCATTCTTATTCATGAGTGATCTCTCCATACCATAGACTTTCAGTGACCACACAGGATCTGTTGCTCTTCTTTAACCACCTTCCAGCTCACCAAGGGCATTGAGATAACTTACATTTTTTGAAGAGTCGAGTCTCTTTTCCTTCAGGCCAACTGGTCTTGAATAAGTCATTGAACTCTTTGCCTCAACCAACTTGTCTTTGATTCCATCAACAAGTTTCTTTCCAGTCAACCTGATCACTTCACTATTCAAAGCTAAAACAACTTCTGGAAGCCGCTTCGCCTATTCTGCCAGTCCCTCTGAAGATTTGAACTCCATCTCCTGGACTGTATTGGAAAGTGAAGAGATGCTCACCCAAAGTTTGGTTGAATTTCTCCACAATTTCCTTATCTCTGTGAACATTCACATTTCCTCTTCTTATCCTCAAATCATACTTTGCCATCTCTCTTGTGACATCACATGAATATGAATTCATGCTCAGGATCAACCTGAAGAACTTTTGGCCATGTCAATGGTCCTCGCCTCTAGATTGTGTGAAAAGCTCTTGAGACCTTAGAAGAATCTTTTGAGGTGAGAGGTATAACAGCCTTGAATCTGCTTGCAACATCAACAACTGTCAATGCATACTTATAGACTTTCTGTGACCTTGCAGTCGCTATTTCTTTAGGAAGGAGATTTGGATTGCACATCAAATGTTGGTCTTGGAATATGCTTTGGGGCAGGTAAATAAATCTGCCAGATGGCTTTCTTCATCAGCTAAAGCTGCTTTGCATCATCCTCAGACACCAGCTTCTTTAGCCAATGCCAACTACTTGTTATAGTTTACAAGAAACGACTGGAAGCTAATCCTTAAGTCGAGGCACCAGCAACAATGTAGATCATTTCATCTTACTTTTGCCTACAACTCAGCTTGTAGATGTTGGAAAGTTGTGGTTTCCTCAGATCAAGCTCTTGATTATGCACCTTGTTGTACAACTTCAAAGCATAATCTGTGTCCAACAAATTCTGTTTCACCTGCTCCTTGACTCTGTCATTAGTTGCAATCCAATCAAGGAGTTTTGTTCAATTTTCTTGATGCTTTTTATAGGCTGCTTGGTAGTTCTCCACTGCAAGATCTTGTCTCTTGTTCTCTTCAACCCTATTCTGGTCTCCACTCAAATACTTTGCAAGATAGCTTCCACCAACAAATGCAGTTGCATTAATGATCACTCCAGTTATTATTGCTTTGCTTGCCATTTTATTCATCTTCATTATTATTTTTGAAAATCAATAACGAGTATTCATCATGAAACTCTTGTTGAATTTCTTCTGTCTTGTTAATCTAGAATATTTGAGCAGTCTCAATGATTGGGTAGACTGCTGCTAACTTAAATGCAGTCATTGTAAATTGGCTGAACGTTTTTAAGATGGTAAAATCTTTTGTTCTTTAAGATATCTTTTTGTTGCAATTGATGCAGTGATCATGAAAGAGAACTTTCAGATTGCTGCTGAAAGAATTTGATTTGAGAGAGTGAGAATGATGATGATGGTTCTCGTTTTGGTTCTGGTTGTAATCCTTTGGATTGCTTCAAATCACCTTTTTCCTTTTCTTCTCTCACTCTCCTTTTGTATACCTACACATAACTGATAATCTTGAGCCAGTCGACAATCTGGTTCTGAAGTGGAGTCAAGATAAGTATATGTATCTTATCTCTCTTATTATTTTCTTGTCATCATTAGTATTCAAAGCTATCTTGTTGATGGTCTCAGTGAAGACCCCATGCTTATTTGTTCTGATTACATTCATTTTGCTCATTTGCATGTTTCCACTGAACAAGCACTCATAGTTGTTGTGGGCTATATTCTTAATTACAGCCTTAATTCCTTTAATCTTATTTCCTCTTCTCCCTCAAGTATCTTGTAGTTGTAGAGTTGTGCACTAAATCCAACAAACTCTTCAATGATATTTCCACCAGCTTCATCTTTCATCATTCCTGTGACCTTGTTGCCGCCAGTTGGGATCCCTGACTGGTGATCTTCAGGGTAATTACTTCTGTTGAACAATCTCTATACTTCTCTTTGATGTAGTTATAGTGGAAGTCGTCCATCAGGGTCTTACTGATATCAAGGATACTCATTCCACAACATACCAGTTTATCAAACCCAGCTTAGTTTGCTCCATATGGATTGCAATAAGATTTTCATCGAATATGGTCAATTGCTTGAATTTTGATGTTGCTGCAAGTTTCAATGCTTTCCCGTGGTTTTTGATTAATCTCAGATCCACACAATTCCTGATGTTTTTCATAGTTTTTTTTAGGACCACGTTCATCAACTTAAAAAACTCTTTCTCAAATTCATTCTTTGCATTTAATGCTTAATGTATTTCTCCAGCCAAGGTTCTTCTTTGAAGGTTATTCCCCTATGAATCTTTTTGATCCTCAAACCAAGGTCTAAATACTCTGTGAGGTTCTTGTGATGAATGACATACTTCTCCTTATCATTAGTAATCAGGTTCTCGACTTTATTGATCATAAGCCTCTCAGGAGCAAGTGGATAGTCATTATGCAAGTCATGAAGCTCTTTTGGATACTCAAGATCTACCTCAAGAATGCAAGGAATAATTTTCCAGTTGTCAAAGTCACTCATCCACTTGAAACCACTAACAGGAAGAGGCTTACACATCGCCCATCCATAGAGATTGTTTGTATCAAGATAGTTGATGTATTTCTTTGGCTTTGTTTTATTATAGGCTTCATCCATATATTTTTTGTTTGCCTTTGGAAAGCGATTTGAGATCGTTGAAATTCCTCCACGAATTCCGAATCAGCAGCATGTCTGGATCTCTCAATAGCTCAAGCTCAACATTTGTCACCTTCAGTATAGCATCCTAAGCCAATCCAGGAGCAGTGTAATACTATGCAGGCATATAATATGCAAGACAGACATTTCTGAACTCTTCAAACACATCTACAAGCAGGAGAACCTCCATTTGAGATAATGGTCATGATAATCACCTATCCACTTCATTTTGAACTAATTCCAGAGATTCTGTGTGTGCTCATAATCTTCATTAGATATATCACAGTCATTCAGCTTTGAGTAAAACTTATCTTTTGGTGGTAGTTCTGTTACATCAAACTTAGTGATACTATCCGTGTAGTCATAAGGGTACACACCCTTTCTTGAGACCAACTTGATTTTGTCCATGAATACCTTTTCAGTTCCTTTTGAGAAAAGAAGCCATGAACTTGAAGCTTTAATTAAAGTGAAACTCATTCTTGATGTCAACTTCTTTACCTTTGTTGATGAAAGAGTCAAAAATGACATCTTTGCTGAAGCTGATGTAATTTTCCTCATTTTATTGGGAATGCATTTTATGTTTCCTTCAGTCTTACTAAAATTGTTAACAAAAAGATGATAGTCATAACCAGCCAAGTTGAGAGATGAGAGGAGTAAACTTTGGCTTCTTGAATTGAAGGTTGCATATGTAGTGAGGTGCTCCTCTATACTTCCCAGTGAAATGGCCATGGTCTCTCACCATATCATTAAGTGAACCCTTGCAGATCCAGCAGTGTGTTGGGTCAAATTCCCTATGAATCCTCTTGATATTGTCTTCAAGCATTTCAACAAATATCTGAGCAACATCTTCTTCATCCTTGCTGTTTGCCCTAGAGATGATTGGCTCTTGTGAATAAAGCTTATCATCATCACAAATGATATGCTTCTAGTATTTATTTGTGAAACTCTTATCACTCCTTCGCTCACAGCCACTTATTGGTTTTACCACAAGGGATACCCTTACTGAGTGGTTATGATTCTTGAATTTGATCACACCACCTTCATCTGGCATCTTGATTCTGACTACCACATTTCTTAAGCAATACTTTTTATGGAGTGCAAGCTTTTCTTTGCTTGAGAAGTAGTTCAAACACCTGAGACAATACCCTTGCTTTCTCATCCTTGGAGGTTTGACTTGATAGCAGCCTGCTCATATTGTTTATCAGGCAGTAGTGTTCATCTGATATGAGAAGAAGATTGATATGTGTCCTATTTTTCTCTTTGCTGATCCTCCAAAGATAAAAATCACATTTATAGCCAAGCATGTTTAGTGCAATATTTTCATTCTTTTCAAACTTGCTTATATCAGTCAGCTTCATAATGAAGTTGATATTGCTCCAAGAAAGCTGCTCAGATTGTGCTTTATGGAGTTTTGTAATCCTTTGAGGGTCTTTGTTAACAGGATTAAGTGCTCTTGTTATGCACCTCTTGAAACACTGATTATCTGCATTTTTAATGTTCACAACTGCCTTCCTTTTTTGCAATGAATTCTGGGAGTTTGATGTAAGAGCTACCATTTAACATTCTGTATTCTGTAAGATATGTCATGAGGTATTACTCTGAAATCTCCAGTTGCCTCCTATTTGATTAAAATTCTGAAATCCTTCTTGAATAGTATCCATTGAACTGTCAAATTCTTCAGATTCATTTGTTGCTTCAAGATTTTTGATTATGTAGCTTTGGAAATAAGGATTCAGAGGTTCAACATTCTATTTGAAAATTTTTTTTCTAACCATCTCACTATTAAAAAAAATCATGACTCTTCTCCTATGATTCTCTCTCTTGTTAGCCTCAAGACTCTAGGTTTAGCCATTTGAATAAATTGGTCCAAAACCTTCAACACCCTTGCTGGCCTCAGAAAAAATTTTGAGTGAGAGAAATAAAAATTATTTTATAAATTAGTCTTAAAAGAATCAACTGCTTGGACTGCTTTGTGGCCGTGGCAAGAAGTAATCATTTTTTAAAATATATTTCCAGTTCAAACCTTCAAAGAAAGGCTATTGAAATTGATAAACTCATTATTCTCATCAGTCACAAAAATTTTCATAGAGAGGATGTAATTCCTTGGTGATATTTTTTGTTGGGTTGGGATTTCAGAATGATAGTTCACCCTGTCGAAGGGCTGCCCAATAAGTGGAAGCATTCAACAATGCTTCCTGGCTCTCCACTCAATATGTTTTCACTTTCGTCCAAAAGATCACAGTGGACAAGGTAGTTGGAAAATGATGTAAACCTTTTTGATGAAGTTGATGGTTTGCAAACATCATTTAATTGTGAGAAGATTAAACAGATCATTGTCAGTAAGGATATGCTTATTTTGAGGATTTTGGATTTCCAAAACTCCTTTTGCAGTATTTAATTCAACTTTCACTCCTACATTCTTCAATTATCATGAAGAGCTTGGATAAAGCTGTAGAGTGAATAATTACCTTCTGAAATTCTCCTTACAGTTGCAGTGCCTTGCAGTGATTTCTCCACTTCACTTCAAATTTCCTTTAATTAATTCAAGTGTTGAAAAGAGAACAGCTCACTAGCATGATATTTTAATATTTTTTGCTGCTGCTCCCAAGAGGGTCTTTGAAGCGGTGTGATTATTTGAATCTGCAATAATTTTCAACACAACCATTTTGATTATAAAAGCAATGAAACTGTTTGTGTGGTTAAGATGAGGTGAAGAGAATCAAATTATAGATACAGCAACGAAAAAGCCTGGAATGATTTAAAAGCATGATTTCCAAATGTAGACCTGAGCTAGTTCAGTGTGCAAGTGTTGTTTAGATGATAAAAGACAGGCAACAGGTGAGGTTTACTTCAGTCGATCAGATGGAGTTCAGTTGAGCATCTCAGGATCAAACAAGATATTGGGATGATGATGTGTGGAAGGAACTTGGAATTGGAGGTTTTTCCCTTGACCTCACCGAATCAAAGAGGAAAGATGGTTCATTGGTTTGAAATGAAAGAATCCTGTCAGCTGCTTGAATGAAGAGATTGAGATCTTTGTTACACCATCCCATTACTTACATGCAAAATTCAGAGGAATGTTCGCAAGAATGAAACTCAGTATTCTTCAGTTGCAAAATCAAAGAGAAGGCTTGTTGGGCAGAATATGAGCTACTGCCTCAACAGCTCAACTTTGCAGTATGGTGTACAATGACAGGCTGTGGAATATCTTGAGTATCAAGAAGTGATTGATAGGGTTCCAGAACAGATCAAGTTGTTTCTGATGTTTCACACATCTACTTCACCGTCAGAAGGATTCTCTTTGAGATGGGTGGAATTCAGAGTGAATTGGCTCTTCCATGACCTGACTTTCAGCCAGACAAATAATAAGGAGTAATCTGTGATCTTAATGGATCTTGTGGGTCATGACATTTTCTCTACATTATGAATGAAAGGACAGGTTTTGCATTGTCAGCAAGCACATTTGAAAGTTCCAGGTGGTTTGTTGGTTTGAAATGAACTTCCCATCAAAAATTGCCAATGCTTTTGTCACATTTGAATCAAATTAGTGAAGGTTGTGAAAAGAAAGTCCTAGCCTTTGAATTGTTTGAAGTAATTTAAAGTTTTAAAATATTATAGATTTAACTGTGTGGTTGTGAGTGTGAAATTTGGGAGTGAATGGAATGCGAACAGTGTTTTCCTTCTCAGCCTTTTGTAGTGCTGACTGTCTATCAGTTGTTGGGTACAATGATGGCCCACTTAAACGATAGAAACAGGATAGCCACGTTTATTGAAAAACTGGCACATTGCATCTGATTTTTTGGAAAAATCAGAGTCATCACTAAATAAAGGACAAAGTCTGAGATACTGAAAAAGGTATGGAATTCTTGACTTGTGATGAATATGAAGATGAATACAACAGCTAGGTAACTATGTGAATCTGTAGGTTTGTAGTAAAGACTGGTGCTTAAACCATTGCTTCAATTTAAATTTTGATGTTTAGAAAAGGCAAAAAGTGAAGTTTCAAGAATGGTAGAAGTCAAATGATTGCTAAGATGTAAATTCCGATTATTGACCCAAACTCCAACTCCAAGGCACACTTCACTTTTAGTCGTGGTTTTTATGAGGTGGTATCTTGAAGTTTGGAGCTGTGTTTGACGTTTGTTGAGAAAATCAGTATAGTCAGTAAGTGTTGGGATGCCCGTTTGAAAAAACTAAGGCTTTTCTTTTAAGGAAATAAAGAGATCTTTATTAAAAAGAAACATGTCCAGAAACAAAACGTCTGGACTTACAATTTCCTTCGTATATCTATCTATTATGTATATACAAGACTAAGTAACTACACAAATTTGAAAAGACATCTATTGAAAAAGCGACGTTTAAAGCATTCAGTTCTGACTGGAGGCAGGATGTAATTATGTCCTCTTTTCCTGAGGCTCCTAGCTCTCTGAGCTAGTAAAAGTTCATGTAATGGATTTGTGCTGTCAGAGGTTATCTTGTCCCAAAGAAGCCTGTCTTTCATTCTAATTACATCCATTATGGGAGTGTATTTGCTAGTGTAGCCATAACGTAAAGCTCTCTTACAAAACTTGTCAATATAAGAGAGATATTTACTTTATTGGGCAGAAGCCCACACCTCAATTGCGCAAGTTAAAAGTGACATAATTAGACTGTCAAACAGCAGTGTAAGTTCTTGTAGTGAGAAGCCGTAGTATTTGCAGACTCTGAGGATGTACAGTCTAGAACTTGCTTTGCTAAGCATGTTTTCAAATTGAACGTCCCAGTTACATGGAACTTCGTTTACAGTAACTCCTAGCAGCTTTAGTTCGCTCTTTCTAGTTATTCCATCCACGGGCTCTGGAAGGGGCATTGTGGTTTTACCTTTAACAGCCATCTCAAAGGTCTTCTTCATGTTTAGTTTAGGGGACAACCAAGAACCCACTGTCACCACAAGAATGCAACTACAAGATACACAAACAGCCAACAAAATTCAAAGGTACAGGTAAAACGTCGTCTTAAGGACTTGCACTTCCTCTTCTACTCCCAAATGAACTTTCCTGAATAACATAGAAAAAACAGCTCCCAGAAGTTGCACTGTGATTGGAAGTGGCCTTCATAAAGCCCTGAAAACCACATGATTTTTTCCCTTTCACCTGCAAACATGACTCTCTTGTGAAAGCTGACAAATCAAATCCTCTGCCTCTGTTGGGCCAATTGGTCAAAATGCTAATTTCCTCCAGAACATATAGGCCATGCACTGGAATCTAAAAACTGTGACAATTTCTGCTCAATGGTATTTTAAAGCTTGTTTTTTTTTTGTCTTACTTCAGGGTAAAATACACAAGCCCAGGTTTCTCCGCTCTGTCATGTGATAGGAAGTCACATTCAGGTGAGATGCAGAAATGGCAAAAGTATCAAAAAGCAAAGCTCAAGTTCTGTTTTACCATGTCTTACTAAAAACAAATAGAAATTTGAATTCCATTTTTCAAACTCAAAAAAGCAGTAAACAGAATGGAAGTTCAAATTCTGTTTTTCGATGTGATAGGAAAAGGGAATACAAAAATGAAAGTTTGATTTCCATTATCCCCATGTTGTAGGGTATGAAAGCTTTTGGCACTAAGATGCATGCATTATTTTGTTGGTTTCATGTATCAACAGTTCATTATATCCTGTAAAAGGTATCCAGTTGCTGCTTTTCTGATTTTATTGGGAAAATAGTTACCTAGTTTGTTGTGCAAGTCTAGATTTAGCTCCAAATTTTTTTCCAACCTGTATGCAAACTTCAAAAGAATAGGATAACTGATTAACAGTAATGTACGAAAGGTACATTATTCTAACAAAAAAAATTGCTTGTAACCCTTTATTCATATAGTTCTGACAAAGGGCTAACACTCAAAATGTCAGCTTTGAAACTCAACTGATAATACCAAATTATCTTGTACTCTTCCACTGATGCAGCACCATAGTTTTTTTGGAAACTTACCCCCTTTATATGTTTTAATAATGTCATATAAATTATGCAAAGGTCATCCCCTGTATGTAAGTGTTTTACAGATTATTTATTGACCTGACTGTGCCACTTTATGGTTTGGTGCAAAAGCAGCTTAGCCTAGGCGCTTCCTCTTCATTCGTTTATTGCAAAGAGACTGAAACTGATCCTCCATCCCAGATTTTAAAAACTTCAAATGCAGAAAACACTGTTTGATATCCATTAAGGTAAACTACAAACTGAAAAATGTCTACCCTCTGTGTCTTGTTCTGTCTTCCTTTGACAAAACACTTTTGAGAAAACACTGGACCAATGGTCCAAATGTCTGATCATATTAAAAAAATTAATGATAGGAAAGATAGCAGGAATAACGATAATAATACTTGTAATTAAATATATAATGAAAATAGACTTAGGCTTTTATCTAAGATCTTTCATTCTCAATGGAAGAGAGATATTGTGGAACTCTCCTCCTTATTGCCAGGCTGCCTTTCAAACAACAAATGAAAAATTTTCAAGTTTGATTTCATATTCAACTGAAATGAAAAGATGCCTTCCTCTTCTCTATCTTGTGGCAAATGTGACCAGGTGTGACAGCCCAAGCACTTTTGGGTAAGGTTTAGTATTGGCATCAATATTATTCTCAGGGACAAAAGTTGTTGGAGGCTTGAAAATTGGGATTAATGGAAAACA